TCTTCTTCTTCTTCTTCTTCTTCTTCTTCTTCTTCTTCTTCTTCTTCTTCTTCTTTCTTCTTCTTCTTTTGGAGGTACTAGGGTTTAAACTCAGGGCTTCATGCTTACTAGGCAGGTGGTCTACCATTTGAACCACTCCATCAGCCCTGTTTTGTGTAGGGCATTTTTGAGATAGAGTCTTATAAACTATTTGCCTGGGGTTGACTTCAAACCTCGATCCTCCTGATCTCTGCTTTCTGAGTAGCTAGGATCACAGGCGTGAGCTGCCATTGCCCAGCAACCTCTCAGACTTCTGTGAGGACACAGCCTCTCTGTTCTCTCTCCCATGTCTACTGGGTCCACTGCATCCTGTCCTTGCAGTCCTAAAAAGCCCCTGCCAGCAGTGACCCATGTCTAAAACCCCTACCACTTACTGGGCACTGTGCCAAGTTTCACTAGGATGTTTAATCCTCACAGGGATGCTGTGAGATTCAACTCTTATCCTCACCTTGCAACAGGGAAACTGAGGCATGGGGTGTTGTTCTGTTTTTTAAAAGTATCTTGCTTGAGGTGACACAAATGGGAAGTGGCAAACCTCAGTCTCCAGCTGACCCTGCTGTGTTCCTCTTCTCTCTGCACCTAAGGTCCTCTCTGCTCAAAGCACCACACTGCCGCTCACCCTCCAGGTGTCAGCTTAGGGACTCCTTCCCCAGAAGGCCTCCTCTCACCCCTTTGCTGGGATCACCCAGTCTGCCCATGCTAGTTGGTGGGAAGCAACTGCTCAGGCTTGTCCTCCATCTGAGGACCAATGTACTTCCTAAGCACAGGGACCAGGTTGGAGTGTGTCCCCACGCTACCATAGGTGTCCCTAGTTCTCCTAAAACTTGCTTTTACACTCTGACAACCCAGCTGTCACATCTAAATTATCCTGATTCTAAAGAAATCTTTCTTTCAAGTAACCAGAAACCCCCAAAATCCTTTGGTTGAAGGAATCTATGGTGGGTGTGGTGGCACAGACCTGTAATCCCAGCACTTGGGAGGGTGAGGCAGGAAGATGACACATTTAAGACTAGCCTTGTCTCCAAAAAAAAAAAAAGGTGGGGGGAGCTATGGGTTACCTGGTCAAAGTCCTTTATAGCAATGGAATGGAGGAGTGGAGGGAAAGGCTGAAAATTGGAGTAACTGGTGTTGGAAAAGGAATCTTTTCCTCCAACCTTCAGTCTTCAATGGTGGTCCACAGGCCTGGGGAGGACTGTTCCAGCAGTAACTGAGGAACTGTCCTCCCCAAGCCTCTCCCGTCAGGAGCGAGTACCAGCCTTTCACAGGGATGCACCTGTTGGTGCAGGGTGGGCTCCTGAGTGCAGAACTGAATGAGCCAGTGGGGGGTGGGCATCTACAAGTTCTTTTTTGAGCTCTTAAAGGGAGAACACCTGCCTGGCAAACTCAAGACCCTGAGTTCAAACCCCAGTACAGCCAAAAAAAAAACATTAAAAGTAAGAGTAATTAAATACATCAGAGGGGCTAGCCCATGGGCATGCAGGACTCAACCATGACAGAGGGAGTTCAGGCACTTCAAGCCCTTCTAGGACAAATTCTCATAAAGTAGAACTGTTATGAGGGTTAGTGAAGGCGAGGCCCAAAACGTGTTTGGCCCTTAGTTTAGCATAGAGATGCCATCATAGATAGTGGTCCCTTGTATGCCACACACAGACAGACATGGCAGTCCGAGCTCCCCTTACTCCTGCTCTTCCAGACTTCTTCCTAAAGGGTACACTGGTCTTCTCACCCCTGCAGCAGGAGCACTGCGGAAAGGGGACTTGGGGATAATGGCGGGGATGGGGCTCCGGAGGCAGGAAAGAGGGGTCTGTCCAGCACTCTGGACAGGGCCTGCCTTGGCTCCACCCATGGCGTCTACTCTGGGCTTAGGTTCCTGAGGTCCCGCCAGAAGTGCGTTCGAGCTTCTGTCCCGAAGTTCATGGTGTGGTCCGCCAGGGTGGCCGTTGCCCTGCCAGCCAGTCTGGGGAGGGAAGCCCGCAGCAGATGGGCGGGGGACGCCTGCCAGTTTGCTGCAGCAACGGCCACGCGTCGCGGAGGCGTGTCCGGGCCAGCCCCAGAGGCTGAGGCTAGCAGCCAGGAGCCCGCACTCGGGACAGCCCCGCCTGCCGGTCACATGAGCTGCGACTGTCCTGCGGGTGGGAATCCGTAGCCAAAGGAGCTCCAAGGGGCTCCGGGTTGCCTCCTTTTGTGTGGGGGAGGGTGCTCAGTTTCCCCTTCCAAAACTGACAGAGGGGAAACCGGATGACCTCTAACTCCGTGGGCAGCTGAAGATTCTTTGGAGTGTTTAGAGTCTGGGAATTCAGCAACCAGGACCCTAATTCTGGCTGGGTCAGTACCCAGAGGCGAGGGCCAGAATAAAACTCCACCTCTCTCAGGTCCAGCTTGGGCCTTTTTTTTTTTTTAGCGGCACTGGGTTTGAACTCAGGGCTTGCACTTGCTAGGCAGGCGTTCTAGCATTTGAGCTGTGCCCCCATCCTCTTACCCCGCCACCCCCGTCCAGCTTGGAGCAGCTGGTGGGGTCTCTCTTATCAGTCCTGCGGCTGCTGAATCCCTTGCCGGGGCTCAAGGAAGGTCTCAGAGCACGCGCTGAACCCCAGTGGGGGAATGAATGAAGCAGGGCAGTGTTAGAAAGGACTGCCACCAGAGCCAGGAGAGAACTGCTCCCGCCCACCCTCCCGGTCCAGGGTCATCCCTATGGTGGGCCCGATGGCAGCCTATCCACACATCCCGCAACTCCGCCACAGATGGGACGCGAAGGCCGTAGGGGGATCCCTGGGGGCACCACTGTCCCCCACCCCCCCAGCCTTATCCGGCGCAGGAACAAAGGCGGGAGGTGCGAGCGGCGGGCGGCAGGACTCCGCGGGGCGGGGCGGGCGACACAGCCTCTTTAAAGCCGGGCAGCAGGCGCGGCGCTCACTACTTTGGCGCGGGCTGAGTCTACACTCGGTACCGCGTCCGGCGCTGGTCTCTGCTCTACGCGCTGCAGACGCAGGTCAACCCCCGCGTGGGACCCTCAGCGGCGGCCGCCGCTTTCCCTAGGAGTATGGGACTGCCTCGTGGAGTAGGGGACGCGGCGGAGCTGCGCAAGGTAGGAGCCAAGCATTGGGGACTGGGGGCGGGGTTGGGGTCCTGGACCGCAATCCACCTAACTGCGGCCTCCACGCCCACCCATCGGCCCGCAGAGTCTGAAGCCGCTGCTGGAGAAGCGCCGGCGCGCGCGCATCAACGAGAGCCTGAGCCAGCTCAAGGGGCTCATCTTACCGCTGCTGGGCAAGGAGGTGAGTGCCCGGGCGCTCGGTCCCGGTTCCGCATCCTGGGGAACAGAGATGGAGGGTCCTGGGGCGCCTAGCGGGGTGGGCGGGAAGTTGTGCTTCTGCCGGAGGGGCGCCCAAGGCTGAGCCAAGGTGGCCACCGCAGGCCATAGCTTTCCTGGTGCGAAGCCTGTTCCAAGAGCGCAGTGCTCACGGTGGCAGCTGCCCGAGGTCTGTCTTGTTTCTCCGTCTCTGCTCCTCTCTCTCGTGGCTGGCGCAGAACTCTCGCTACTCCAAGCTGGAGAAGGCTGACATTCTGGAAATGACCGTGCGCTTCCTGAAGGAGCTGCCTGTGTCCACCTGCCTCGCCACAGCACCCGGTGAGTGACCCTATTCCCTCCTGCTCTGGGCCCTGCACCCCGCACGCCACTCTGCGCCTCATGCTGCTTTCTTCCCGCAGCGCCCCTGGACAGCTACCGCGAGGGCTACCGCGCCTGTCTGGCACGCCTGGCCCGTGTGCTGCCAGCTTGCTGCGTCCTGGAGCCCGCTGTGAGCGCACGCCTGCTGGAGCATCTGCGGCGGAGGGCGGCCAGCGCCACCCCTGACTGCGAACATGCTAGAGACTCCTCTGGTGGCCCATCCTCTCCAGCGACGCCGCCCGCACCTGCTGCTGCGCCCTCGCCGCCTGTGCCTCCGGGCGACCTCGGTCTTTGGCGGCCGTGGTAGCCTCTTGGCCTGTCCACGAATCCTACTGACTTTGAGGTACCTGGAGCACCGCTCAGGCCGAGGAAACTCTTCGTGGTGACTGCCATTCCTATGCCTTGGGAGACCAGCCCAGCACCCACACCCATGCTGGAACTGGCTGCTTGTGATTCATGTGGCCAGTGAAGGACCTTCAAGACTCAGCTGGAGAAAATAAGAGTTGTCCGGCCTCACCCCAGGTTGGGGGTGTCTGGGCAGGAGGAGAGGGGCAAATGCCTGCAGGGTGAGGAAGTTCCCCACTCCAGCTGGTGGAAGTGCCTCTGGAACTGGGCCAGCCATAAGCTGCCTGGGCAGTGACACACCTGCCCTACAGTTGGCAACAGATCAAGGCCTGATTCAGGAGCTCACCTGGGCCAGGTGCAGCCATCTGCTCTGATGGGTCACTACCTTCCCAATCCTGTTTGAGTCTACTTCCTGCCCAGCTGGGCTTGGGAAGCTGTATGCACACAGCAGCAATGGCCAGAGAGGCTCTGGTCACTCCCAAGGTTCTGCAGAGCACCAAGCAGGGAAAGGGACATGTAGGGCTGAACAGTTGTCACCTCCATGCTAGGCTGTCCTGGTCAATGATAGGGGTAGGGGTCATCCAGGTATTCATGCTTTTGGAGGTCAGGGCTTTGTTAGGGGTCTTGAGAAGGATGTATAAGGCTATATCTCTCCAGTATTAAAATAACGCCTGTGTCCCCCACACACCAGGCTGGGTGGTCTTGGGGTATGAGGAAGAGGTGAGACAAGAATGAGGCTACCCTGAGGCTTCAAGGAAGCTTGTTATCTTGGAGGACCTGAATCCAGGAGAGGGACAGAGCCAGTGGGAAGCCAGCAGGGTCCATACCATGGAAAGGCAGAAAGTGAAGACAGAGCGTCTGGTTGAGGAACAGGAAACACCTTTCTTTGTTTTCTCTTGCTAACTACTCCCTGAGACTGGTTACTGGAAGAAATATGTTCTTGAGACATTTCTTCTTCCCTGTGGCCTGAGAAAACTCAGGGAGGGGCCTGTGGATCTCAGGAGCTGGTGCCCCAGAGAAGGCTGGAGTGCTTGCTGCCCACTGTCAATCATAAACCCATCCTTTCCTGGGGATTTGTGGAGCATTGAAGGAGAGTTGTGAATTCTCCCCAGTCTCTAGTGTTAGAGACCAGGGCACTAGGGGGCAAGAAGACAGAACTGATGGGGTAAGTATATCAACCTATGCCCCACAAACCCATGATAACCTGGGCACTGATTTGGGTGGCAGGATGTGGGGGAAGCTATGTGCATTGCTGAAAAAAAAAAAAACCAATGTTAGGATAAAGGGAACAGGACCCCAGCAAGGCTGTGCTGGGCCCAGGTGACTAGACTGTAAGCCCCTGGAGGGCAGTGCTGGAGCAAAATGCACCTCTATGTCCCCGAGGCACTGGGCACACAGTGGATGCTCAATAAACATGATGAACCAATGCACAGGTGATGTGATTGACCACGCTGTGCTTGAAATGTGAACCTCATTTTTTTCTTTTTTTGGTGGGACTGGGGTTTGAACTCAGGGCTCCATGCTTGCAAAACAGGCACTGTATCGCTTGAGCCATACCTCCAGTCCATTTTGTTCTGTTTTTTTGGAAATGGGGTCTTGTGAACTATCTGCCCAGGCTGGTCTTGAACTGTGATCCTCCCAACCTCAGCCTCCCAAGTAGCTAGGATTACAGGTGTGAGCAACTGGACAGTCTGATTTTTGCCTTAGCTCCCACCTCAAGCCCCAGGGATCACATTTGAATATTTGCTCCATCAGGGTCTTTGTTCCCACACATAAGTTTAATACAGGCTTAAACTCTCTATAGGCCCCGCTCCTCTTTTTAGTCATACCTGCCATTTCTTGCTTCTGAGTATCCCTCTCAGCCTCCAGTTCTGTAACTTGCATTGATCTGGCCCTAATCAAGTGACAGTGCAAACAGTCGTGGAGAGGGGGAGCGTGTGTGGATAGACTAGTGACTCACAGGGTCAGGTGCTCTGGGGAACCTGAATCGGGCAGCCAGCAGGCCCTGGCTTGCCTAGGTAGGTGCCCAAGTCAAGAAGCCGGAGTTTCCCAGCAGAATATGCTGGAACTCCCAGGAGGTCTCTGCTGGTACTCCCAGCTGAGCTTGTGAAACCACATGGGACTGTGGATACCTCCTTCTGGTAGCTCCCTGGTTGTGCCCAGAGCCCTGTCTGGTGGCCAAGGTGAGCAGGATAGTGGCTCCTTCAGTGTGGGAGGGAGGAGGCTTCAAGTAGAAGGACTTTTTATGACAAACAAGCCTCACATATGACCAAATGACCAGCCCTTGGGATATCTGTTCCACTATGATTCCATAACTGACTCTAACTTCCTGCCTGAAAAAAAAAAGCCCCCTATCTCTCTTCCATAAAACCTGTGGGAGAAATGACTCTCTGACCCAATGACACCAGAGCACTGAGCTGTCTGGGAACCCTTGGCTAATACGGACCTGGGACAGGCCCCACCTGTTCCTCTGGTCCCAGGTAATTAGGAAAGTTCACATCTGGCTTCCATGAGCTCAGGATAAAGAGTGGGTTGCCAAGGAGGAATCCTCTCATATAAACATTTCCAAATTGCTCTGCCCCACCTGTGAATCCAGGCTCCTGCAGGTGAGTCTCCTTCTGATTCACCTGGGACAGAAGCAGAATGAACTAGCTTACAGGAAAGGTCTGGAGGAACCTGTGGCTCTCACAGTCTTCCCTAAGCCCTCCTGTGCTTTGGGGTCTCCCCTCTGGAGGGGATTGTGGGATAAAGGGGGCTGTTCCATATTTCATGCAGCACCTACAACACAGTCTCTTCCAGTGGCTCAGCCTGAAGAGCTGAAAAGGTTGATGGTCTCAGCTGGGTTGGGGTAGCCTTGTCATTCTCATAAGGGGTCTGAAAGCCTCTCCTTGAGCACACACTCACAACATCTAGGCCATATTTATTTTTTGCTTGTTTTAATTTTTTTGCGTATTTACTTTTCAGAGATGTGCCAGGTTGCTAAAGTTCCCACCTGGTGGCATTATTTCCCCTGGCCTTAATTCCCATGTGGAAGCCCTACAAATGTGGCTGTCTCTGGGGGACTGTGTACATACCTCTGTGTGTGTGTGTCCCTGTATATCCCTAAGGCTGTGGTCACCTTTCCCAGAGCTGCCTGGGCATGCGATGTGGGGGAGAAAGCAGCCACCCACCGAGGGTTCCCAGTGAGTAACTAGTTTCGCTCAAGGGTTTTCAGAGGCCCTGGCAAAGTGTCAGGTGCTTAAAGAAGCTCTAATAAAACATGAATAATGGTTTCAGGAGCGTGAGAAAGGCTCTAGAAGACACACCTCGGGTGCACACATGATGTCTTGCTACAGGAGCTCCACTGGAGGGCAGCAAGGAGCAGGGGCGGGAAGGCTGGTCACTAACCTAGCAGCATGAATGAGGGGTTCCCTGGCCTAGGGGGAGTAGGTGAAGGGAGGAGGTTCCAAGCTGAGTATTTGCCCACTGCTGCTTCTGTTGTGGAAAGTGGGCCCAGAGCCACCCATCTCTGTTTTCAGTATATGAGAACTTTCAATAAACTTCAGAGAGCACTGGACCAAGTGTAGTTAGAAAACAAAATACCAAGCTGTGCTCAGTGGTTCACTCCTGTAATCCCAGCTACTTGGGAGGCTGAGGCAAGTGAATCCTTTGATCCCAGGAGTTCCAGGTCAGCATGGGCCAATAGTGACATCCGGTCCCTGGCTACTATACGCCCCCCCCACCAAAAAAGTAAGAACCATTCCAGACCTCAAAAACCAAAGGCAGCTTCAGGTTTTGTGGGGAGTAGATTTTGATGCCCTCTGTAATGAAACTAAAATAAAATGATTATTGTAAACTCCTGAGAATATTCAGAATGAAAAAGTAAGTCATAAAACCACTGGATACCTGTAATCCTAGCTACTCAGGAGGCAGAGATCAGGAGGATCGCAGTTTCATGCTAGCCTGGGCATATAGTTCATGATACCCCACCCTGAAAATATCCAACACAAAAAAGGGCTGGTGGAGTGACTCATGTGGTAGAGTGCTGCCTAGCAAGCCTGAGGCCCTGAGTTCAAAACACAACAAGAAAAAATAAAACAGTGGTATTTGGAAGTCCTGTTCCACCCCTGTGGTTTCTCTTTAAGCAATTTACCACCAGCCCTTCATGGAAATGCTTGCTGATGACACACTAGCCTCCCTCTGCTCCTAGAACATTCTAGTCCTCTATGTCTGTGCCTCTATGTTGAGCCTCAGCAGACTGGGGCAAATCGACCTGCACCAGAACTGACTCTGGAACTTCCCCAAGGATGGTAACAGGGTAGATACCTTCTAGTCACTTCACACTCACAGGCTGTAATCAATAAATTCCCATAAGCTTTCACATCATTTGGGGTTGATTTTTTTTTGTCCTTATCTCTTCCATCTATCTGGGAAGTTTGAGTAATTCAGATTTCCAGGCCCACCTCCAGGGATTCACATCCCCTGTGTCTGAATCAGTGGCTGAAACCTGGCCTCAGGTGTACCTGCTCTAGCAATGATCCATCTAAGAATGGGGATTCCCAGGCACTGGAGTTGGGGGATGGGGAGTTAGTGTCTAATGAAGACAGTTTCAGTTTTTTCAGAGGAAAAGAGAGGGAATGGAGATGGTGGTGAAGGCTATATAAGAATTTGAATGTACTTAGTATCTGCACTGTACACTTAAGTGGTTAAGATGGAAATTTTTTACATTTTGCCACCAAAAAAATAAAGACACCTATCTGCAATGGGCAGAGAGAGCCCATCTCCAAAATAACCAGAGCAAAATGGAGTGGAGGAGTGGCTCAACCAGGAGAGTGCCTGCTTTTTTTTTTTTTTTACTGGAATTGTGGATTGAACTCAGGGCCTTGTGTTTGCTAGGCAGGCATTCTACCCCTTGAGCCTCTCCTGCTGCCCAGAACATCTGCTTTGTAATTGAGAAACCCTGAGTTCAAACCCTAGTCCCAC